CCGCCTATATCGAAGACATACTCGATCTCTGCAGGCGCGTCAATGCCGCAGTGAGCGAAAGTGCCAAGATCCAGCACATTATGAAAGGTGTCGATGACGACATATTTCAAATGCTCCTTGCGAAGTCTCCTGGCACGGTGTCTGAAGTGGTGACTCTGTGCAGAGCTACGACGAATAGCGACGGCAACGAGCTCTCACCCATCGTCCATTTCAGCCTAACCAACCACTCGCTGCACTGGACGTCGTACCTGACCACTCCCGCCTTCTAGCACAAATGAAAGACTTTGTGCGTGAGGAGGTCGCAAGTCAGCTTTCCCTCCTGCCGTTTTGTCAGCGCCAAAAGCTCCCGCAGCAGCAGCAGGAGCGACCACCGACACCATTAGCTCCCATGCTCCGACATGCGCTTCAGGGCCAGATTGCCGAGGCTATGCCAGTGCACTTTCAGCAGCAAGTTGTCACCGCGCCTTTTATTTATGCTGACGCAGTAAAGAGGCAGCAGCCACACCAGCCCTCGCCGTTCAATGGACTGCCACATGTCACCGCTCCTACTCAGTCTTCCGTCGCATGAGCTCCTCCCCTCGCTACCACAGCCTCGACTCAGTCGTATGCCGCGTGGGTGGCGCCCCTCGCTGCAAATGCCTGGCGAACGCGCGATAACCGGCCGATCTGTTTTGCATGTGGTGGCCCTGGCCATATCTCCCGATACTGCCGTCGTCGCGTGCCCGGCTACACAGACGCCCGGCCACGAAGCAACTACATAGACCGACCCCCTTTGGTTATGAAAGTTCGGATCATCAGTCAAACGCCTTCCCGTGACTATCCGGCAACTTCGTCTCGTTGCTCACCTTCACCCAATCGACGCTCCTTGTCACCCATGCGTCCACGACTAGCCCCTCAAAATGAGGGAAACTGGCCGTCGCAGTTCAGGGGGCAAGAACTGTGCTATCGAAATGTTCAAGTCCTCGCACCTTGCCGTCAAATATCGTCGAAGTTTTTGTAGACGGCGCCCATGCACACGCTCTTCTAGAAACCGGTGCCGCTGTGTCTGTTATAGACGCCAAACTTTGCCGCAAGCTCCGAAAGGTGACCACGCCGCTTGATATGATGTCCTTACGTGCAGCAAATGGAGAACCTGTTCGACCTATAGCCGCCTGCACTGCCCGACTCACAATTGCGGAGGACCACTACATTGTTGAGTTTATCGTCCTTTCCTCGTGCTCTCATGACATCATACTTGGCTGGGATTTCCTATCGCGTAATCACGCCGTTATAGATTGTGCCCGTTTCAAACTTGAGTTGCTTCCGTTGTTCGACCAGCCCTACGACCACACTAATCAAGCCGCGCACAAGGTAGTTGTCAAAGAGGACACTGACATCCCACCGACAACAGCTGTTTTGCTCCCTGTGGTCTCCGACGGCATGCGTGATGAAGTAGCATTTTTTGAGCCATCAAGCCTCTTTCTAAGTCGGAAACCACTTCTGCTCCCTTATTCAGCCCTTTCAATCTCTAATGGAGCCAGTGCTCTCTGCCTTACCAATCCCTTTCCGGATACCATCAAACTATTTAAAGCGAGTCTCTTGGATGCGTACAGCCCATTGATAACGGAAAAATTTTTACCGTACCGCAAGAATCATCTCAAAGTGACCTCGCCACGGTCAGTGCTCTTAACCACTCTGATCTGCAGGCTTCGAAAGTGTTCGATTCGGTGATCGCCGACAGACTGTCACCATCTGAACGATCTTAACTCCTCCAACTGCTGTACCAGTACCGTGAATCTTTCGATGTTGTTCAACCTTCACTTGGCCGCACTTCTACCACTCTACATTACATCGATACCGGCTCCCATGCGCCACTACGACAACGACCATATCGTGTTTCTGCGGCAAAACGCCAAGTTATTACCGAACAGGTGAACGATATGCTGCAACGTGGCGTCATTCAACCTTCACAAAGTCCATGGGCCTCACCTGTAGTGCTTGTTAAAAAAAAGGATGGTTCCGTTCGCTTCTGCGCGGATTACCGGCGCCTAAATAAGATCACTCGAAGAGACGTGTATCCTTTACCCAGGATTGACGATGCCCTTGATACTTTACAAGGTGCCGAGTTTTTTCATCATTAGATTTGCGCTCAGGGTACTGGCAGGTCCCCCTTGCAGATGCCGATCGACCAAAAACAGCCTTCGTGACACCGGATGGTCTGTATGAGTTTAATGTCATGCCCTTCGGCCTCTGCAATGCGCCTGCCACCTTCGAGCGCATGATGGACTCGGTTCTTCGGGGTTTGAAATGGCAAATCTGTCTCTGCTATCTCGACGATATAGTCGTCTTTGCGCCAGACTTCGGAACACATCTCGAGCGCTTCAAACACGTCCTCACGTGCCTGAAGAATGCTCAGCTCCAACTCAACCTCAAGAAGTGCCACTTCGCTGCTCGGCAACTTACAATTCTCGGGCACGTCGTATCAAAGGACGGTATACTTCCAGACCCGGCTAAGTTACGTGCTGTCGCCGACTTCCCCAAACCAACGACTATGAAGCAGTTACGGAGCTTCGTGGGGTTATGCTCCTACTTTCGCCGGTTCGTGCGCAACTTCGCCTCTATCATTGCGCCTTTGACCAAACTTATAGGCAGCACCACTGATATTTCGTCATGGTCTTCTGAGTGTGACCAAGCCTTCTGTACCCTTCGTCGTCTCCTCACTTCGCCACCAATACTGCGTCACTTCGATCCTATGGCAGCAACTGAGGTCCACACCGACGCCAGTGGTGTCGGCCTCGGTGCGGTTCTCGCGCAACGCAAGCCTGGATTCGCCGAGTATGTCGTCGCCTACGCCAGCAGAACTCTTACCAAGGCTGAATCAAACTACAGCGTCACCGAGAAGGAATGCTTGGCGATCGTTTGGGCGCTTGTCAAGTTCCGCCCATACCTTTATGGCCATGCGTTTGATGTAGTAACGGACCACCACGCATTATGCTGGTTATCTTCGCTTAAGGACCCATCGGGTCGTCTTGCCCGTTGGGCTCTTCGGCTTCAAGAATATGACATTCGCGTGGTATATCGTTCCGGCCACAAGCATACCGATGCTGATGCACTGTCGCGATCTCCCCTATCCCCGGACATTGCTTCTGTTTCCTCGGACAACACGTTGTCAGCTCTTGACGAGGACACCATCTCTTCTGCACAACGCAATGGCCCATGGGTCGCTTCGCTTCTTGACGTGTTATCCGAAGCACCGACACTTCCAACCACTCGAACCCTGCGCCGCCAGGCTCCGCACTTCAGTATTCGGGATGGCCTTTTGTACCGGCGCAACTATTCAGCAGATGGTAGGAAATGGCTACTAGTCATTCCCCGAACGCTGCGCTCTACTATCTGCACATCGTTTCATTCCGACCCGCAATGTGCTCACGCCGGTGTTTTCAAGACCTACTAGCGCCTACGAAAAAGGTATTACTGGCGTGGAATGTTTGCCTTCGTCCGCCAGTTCATTCGCGGCTGCCACGAATGTCAGCGGCGGAAAAGCCCGCCACATCCTGCAACAGGTTCATTGCAGCCACTTCCATGCCCAGACCGCCCATTCGACCGTGTAGGAATTGACCTTTACGGACCACTACCATTGACAACGGCAGGAAACCGATGGGCTATCGTGGCAGTAGATCATCTAACTAGGTACGCTGAAACTGCTGCTCTCCCCACAGCTGCAGCACAAGACGTCGCAACTTTCATACTCAATCGTTTTGTGCTTCGTCATGGTCCTCCTCGAGAACTCCTCAGTGACCGAGGGCGTGTTTTCCTCTCCGACGTAATCCAAGCACTTCTTCAACAGTGCCATATTGTACACCGGAAGAGTACACCCTACCACCCGCAGGTTTGACTGAGCGGTTTAATCAAAACTCTGGGGGACATGCTCGCTACACATGTTGCTTCTGATCAAACAAACTGGGACCTTGTTCTCCCATTTGTGACATACGCATATAACACCGCTACGCAAGTCACTACTGGGTTTTCCCATTTTTTCTTCTGTACGGTCGCCAACCATCGCACACCATCGACATTTTACTGCCATACTCGCCAGATCCCTCCGAATGCACGCCTGTCTCGGAAGCCGCTCGTTACGCAGAAGAGTGCTGCAAGCTAGCCAAGCGGCTTACTACAGCCGACCAATAGCACCAGAAGGAGACCCGTGACGACGACCATTGTTCTGCCCCAACGTTCGTTCCTGGAGCACTTGTATGGCTTCATGTACCACCCTGCACCCCTGGTGTATCACCCAAGCTACTCTCTAATTATCATGGTCCCTACCGTGTGGTCGAGCGTACCTCACCCTTGAACTATGCCATTGAACCCCTCATGCCACTGAGTGACCGTCATCAGCGTGGACGTGATATCGTTCACGTAAACCGTCTGAAGCTCTACTTTGACCCGCTTGTCCCCACGTGTTAGATTGCCAGGATGGCTTCAACTTTTTAGCCGGGGTTAATTATAGTGAATAAGAAAGACGTTGATACCATCAAGTCAGCTATCAACACAAGAAAAAGGCACGTGACCTCTGGTTCAACGGGCGCGGGCGGCGTTGCTTGCCAATGGAGCCCCGGAATAGGGGTTCCACCTAGTTCTGTGAGGGTAGGAGGCCAATAAGGCCCCAACCCAATCACCTCTCTGTAACCATTTAATGGTTATTAAATGTTTTCACCACCCACGTGATCGGCGATCGAGCATCGTCATCTTGGTCCGCCTGCGTTCCTTTCGAGCTACCACCCGCTTGCTCAGTCCTTCAAGAAACCCTCTTTACAGCCGTAACTACTAAACTGCAGTTAAAAACTACAAATATATCCGTTTTGGCATTTCTTAACATTGTTGCCTTTGGGAATCATTCGATGGTGCTTCACAAAAAACCAAGCCAATAATCAAATCCCTTTCTTTCATTCTTGTCAGGCTAACTAACTTGACGTTTCTTTCCAATATTCCTTTGAGGCGTACTACATAGAAGAGTGACTGACCTGAAAGACAGTGCGTGAGCCACAGGGCTTCCCTGCGCAGGTGCAGATAAGGTGCCTCCAACAGGCGACCCAGTGCAGCAACCATACCGGGCATCCTCGCTAATTCACCGGCCAGCTCGCACCACCGGCTGCTCCAAGTAGCCAGACATGCCAACAAAGAAGACAGGGCCTCCAAAAAAAACCACAAAGCATACACACAACTTTTTTTAAAGATATTTCTTTGAAAGAATGAAAATGCAGCCAGCTTCACTGAGAGAAAGCTGTCAAAACAGGGAAATTTTAGAAGTTTCTCCTTGACAACAATGAGGAGCTTGAAAAATAACTTTCTTTGTTAAAACAAAAATTGAATTAATAAATTTGTTAAATTGGAAGAACTATTTATTTGCTTTTGATTTAGGTATAAACCTGACTTTTGATTGGAGCAGCACATGGTATGTATTCAATGTGGACTAAAGTGACGATTTACTCAAATTTTTGTTTTGTTGCTAAATTTAGAAACATCAGTGGTCTGTAAATATGTTTAATATGAAATATACATTTTGCAGAGCAATTATTTATTGCTGAGATAATGATACATAGTGCAGTATGAAAATGAAAAAAAATGCAGACATAGAATATTTTGGCAACCTTTCTGAAAACGTATGTGGCAGAAAAATTGCTGTAATGTTACTGGGTTCTAAGACCCTTACACAAACATCTTTTCTTTATAATAAATTGAAATTTTGTACTCAAACAAGAAACGATACACTCAGAGTAGTTTTTCAGACAAACAACACTTGGGCGACGTTTTGCGAAACTCTGAAGGCTCCCACGTTACCAAAGAAATTTTTTCTCCGTAAAATATTTTAGCAGTGCACTATTTTTAAAGGGATACTGTAGAAAAATGATAAAAACTGACGAAACTTCGAGATTCCACATGGAAGATGCCACTTCTCTGATAAACAGAGTTTATTTCCCGTATTTTTGAATGGTTGGTTGTATATTTATAGAATTGTGAGCACGCGGCGGCTGCTCGCGAGCGTGAGCAGTGATGTCAAACTTCCCGAGGGGCATGCAGGATTCACGTGTTCTTGTCCTCCTCTTCCTTTTCTCTAGCTATCCTTCCACTCCACTATTTCCCTTTTTAAAAGCACTGGCGCTTTGTTCTAGCCGGAAGCACTGTTCGCTGCTGTAGATGTTCATACCAGTTCTAAGAACCAAAGTAGAAGATCAGCGAGTCGAGAGACGCGGACGATGACTGGCATTGTTGGCTTGCCAGTTTCCGGTGAGTTTGACGTCCCCCAACATCACATTCTCTAGTTCACGACGCTGCCGCTACACGTGACAGTTTGTGAGAAACGCATTATATTCCTTATTTTCCCGTAGTTTCTGTTTGGAATGAAGGTTGTCTCTATCAATTTCAGGATGCAATCTATTGGCTTGGCTGAAGTATTGGCGGCAAAAATTTTGTTCAGTATGCTTTTAATGCAAAAAAACAGCATGTCCTTTTTCTAATACATTTAAGATGGCTACTAAAATGCTTGGGTCATTTGACGTGGAATAATTCAAATGCATGCAACACCTACAACAACCAGACGACACTGCTGGCTGAGTAACTTTATGTGTTCCCCTTTCCACCTGTGTCCGCAAACTAAAGATATATTTGGGTCTGTCTTTCAGTGATTTCTCTGCCTCCATCATGCTACGATAAGCTCTACAAAGGGGGCTGCATGCAGAAGCCCCGACGGATAACTAAGACTGGTGAAAAAGGCGTTGTTACAGCAGACAAAATGTGAAACTGTGTAGTCGATGGCCATTACATAAAAACGAGTACTGTGAGGTGACGTCACCACCGTATCTTTCTTTAATTTTTTCAGTCTGACTCATCCAAGATCCATTCATGTTACAAGCAACCTCTAAAGTATTCAAGAACAGATTTCATGTTGATGAAACCTATTATTGAAACTTTAGATTGATTTATTTCCTAATATTGAAACAAAGAATGTAGAAGGCAAAAGTACCATGAAGTTACTCCATTCCCGATAAAGTCATAGGCTCAAAAGTGAAGCTAAAAAACTAGGACGCGAGGAGATCAAGCTATTTTTCATCTAGGAAGCTGTTCTCTTACGCAGTGTGTGTGACCATTCAGAGACAAGTGCTACCTACAACAGAATTTTCTTGAGATGCTAAGCTGCACTGAATCATCTTGTTTGCAACTGTGTGGCATAGCCTTGCTGTACAGTCCATGTCTTCGGCTTGAACACTGGCACTGAAATAGAATAATGTTACCATTTAGTACTAACCAATATGCTAAATTAATGGAAGGAATACATGGAAACAATGTTCGCTGCATACTACACAACAAAGATTGAGGAGAATGAGATAAGATGCAAATACGTTACAAAAAATTCTATTTATATGCGCTTGCTTTATATGGAAAACATTACGCATGCGTGAATAGTAAATTTTAAGTTCGAAGCGAATTCAAAGCGATTAGATGTTTGGTAAAATAATTTCGAATCGAATTCAAATATGATGTATATGATATATCATATATTATTATGAAGAACATGAGCATATTTGTCATGACCTAAATAACCTGCACGATATATATGTTTTCAATTGAAACAAGGCATGTGCAAATGTCATTCTTTTTGGTTCGAAAAAAAAAAAAAACAGCAAGCAACTTTGATTTTAACTTTCAGTAGAATATAAGTGATAAGCTTTTAAATATGTTAAATTTACTGTACTGTGAGCATATAGGACACTATAACAAGCTTTTGAACATAAAAAATGATGAATCGACATCAGGGTAATATGTTCATTTAAGCTTGAAGTGGGACTTCGCAGCAGTGCTTATTTTCTCTGAAAAGATGTTTTCCCAAAAAAGCACCACATCACTGCAGCTAAAGCATCTTTATAAAGAGTTGCATGAGGTTCGTATGTTATTTGGTCATTAGGAATACTTCGAAATTTAGAATAATTTAAATTCCTTTTGAAGTGAGTTAGAATATTGTAAAATTTGTTCAAACATTCAAAATGCTTGAATATTCGCACATGACAAAAACCTTTCTAGCTTCGTTCCAGTTATCTCTGGGTTCTCCAGCAGTATAGCATATACACAGCAAAAACTCCAGAGCACTGTACAGTTACTGTAAGGAGCATTCTGAGGCACTTGTAATACAGCACTTTAATATAGCAAATGACAGAATAAAGCAAAAGAATGCCGGAATTCAAGATAGACTAAGGCAGGTCCGAACTTCAATCAGATCGGAACCTAGTGCTCATCTTTGTCAGTGTTGATTTACTTCACCTTAATCCACGATATTTTTGGTGTACCACAATCCTTGTAAGGGCAGTTTAAGAGCTATATATAAAGGTTATATTCTTAAAGTAAGGGGACCAAGCACAGAAAACACTTTTCATCTGGTCTTTCAACACACCTAGCATTCTTCTATGTAAGAACCGTAAGTACAAGCACAATGAGTTCAAAGAATTTTCCTTATCTACAGTTATCTCAGATACCATTTTCTCAGACCTTGTTGAGACCTTCCCCTGTGGTCCTTTGGATGGCTTCCGTGCTGTCAAATCAGTGTCAACAAAGTTTAGGGCTCAGTCACAGGAAGAAGGCACAGAAAGAGTCGTCTGGGCTGTACAGCAGCGGTGAAAATGTGCTCAGCCCACAATTTTCTGCTATAAGTGACAAAAGACCGCCATGGTGCAGAATCTACGCAGGTGCCAGCACTCAGCGTGTGCGTTCCACACGCTGACTCAGTCTCCACAGCAATTTCGTGCTGAAACATCATTGTCCTGGAGGGGACAAACTTTGGGGAGTGTGAATACCATATTTATGTTTCTAATTATAATCGAACAGTACCTAATCAAATAATGTGATTCAACTTTCGAATAGCTAGAGCTCAAAGTTTCAAATAACTTGGCAGGACAAATTTCTAAAATATGACAGAGGCTAATGGATCAACTTAATCAGGGTCAGGTGGCTAAAACTAATGCTAACATCATTATAATAAGCCTTGCATTAAAACTTACACCAATATACTAGTCCAAAACCACCCAAATCCACTCTATGGGTTCAAAGCAAAAAATGTGAAAATGACACTGGATCTATAATGGCAGGTAGTGCACATTCTTCTACAATAACATGAGACAGGATGACGAGCTATTCGTGCTTGTAGTATTCTATTTTTTCTGTCCGTAGATTAATATGCACAGCCTACCATTATGTTTGCTGTACAAGCTGGCAGAATAAAAAAATTGGTGCTCGTAACTAGTACAAAAATATTCAGAGTAAGCCCAATTGTTCTAGCTTCAGATTTATGCCCTCAACATTAGCAACACAACACTATATAGCCACTATGATAGTTTCATGACAAGGTTTTAGTCGGCAGTAAACTGGAATGCTTACTTGCTGTAGGCGTAAAATGTGATCCAGCCGAGCTGACCAATAAAGTCGGGCTTTGCAGAGTCCCGGTCAAACAGTGGCAGCAGCTGTTTGAGCAGGTCCCGAGCAACCAAATCTCTGAAAACCGTGTGAAGGAAGATGATAACAACAGTGAAGTTGCTTACTCGTGTAGAAGACTTCACAGCTATTTATACCACTCATGTTATCCCCAGCCCAATCCTCAACTGCCATGCTTTCCTGGTTTGCTTTTTCTGCACCTTCTCTAAAACAAATCATAACCAACATCAGCCTGACTATGCCCACTACAGGGCAGAAGGGTCTGCCATGTTTTTTCAATCAACACGGTCTTGTGCTTGCCGAGACTATGTTATCCCCACAAACTTCTTTATCTCATTAGCCCACCTAACTTTCTGCCTCCTCCCGACTTGCTGCCTCCTTGTGGAATGCTGCTCAATGACCAGTGGTCATCCTGCCTTCTCACCACAGCCAAAGCATGGTCATTACTCCTTCCTGATTTCGACTAAAATGTCGCCAACCTACGTTTGTTCCCTGACCTACTCTGCTCTCTCCAGTCATGCCTGTGATTGTCCTTTCCATGGCTTACTGGGAAACCTTCAATTTAAATTGAACCCTTTTTGTAAGCCTCCAGATCTTTGTTACATACGGAAGTACCTTCATGCAACTGTTTAAGACTTTTCTTGAGAGGTACTGGTAAACTGCCCTTCATGATATGAGAATACCTGCAAAATTCACTCCTTAAACAAGTATGTACCTCTAGAGCTGGGTCTCTTAACTACATCCAGTGGGTAGGAGGCCATTGTAACAGTTTGTGACCAGCAATGGTCATTTCTATGATATATGGCTTGCAGTATGAATTCCCAAAGCCCCTGCTGCACTCCCTGTCCCATGTGATATGGCATGTTCCTTGTTCATGGCAATTATTAACCAAGTGATCTATGCTTCCACAATGCTAAATACTATTATGAAATTCTTTTGAAAAGTAGCTTAATAGCTTGCTAAGTGTGAAACTGCGCATGCGTGTTATTAGCAGTATGTGCTACCATATTGCACAATACATCACGATTGAAACACTGGCTACATATGTTTTTCTCAGTTCTTTTGTGGTGTTGGTGGATGAAAAGGCAAACTTTCATTCACATCCTATGTTCCTAATATAAAACTTTATGAAGCTGCATGTTGCTACATAAAATGTTGCTTGGTAGGCACATTTTATGTAGCAGCACAGCAACATTTTATGTAGTAAGAGAGACCGCAGCTGGGTAAAATAGAAAAAGTGCAGCTGTTTGACTTTGACAAACTAATATGGTAGCAAGCAAAGCAGCGGGAACTTACTGGATGATGTGAGAAGGGGACTGTGCATAAGCCTGAAGAGCAAGCACTGCCATGTCAACCACGTGAGGGTAGACGCTCTGCCAGGGCGGGTAAGGAAGAAACAGAGCTTCATGGAGATAATAGTTAATTCATGTGGTAGGCTACAAAGTACCTACACATAAGTTTTACGCAGTGCTCTTTTTTGTAGCTGCCCTTTATAAAACAGCCGACTTGCGTGGTACAGAGCATTTAAGGGGAAGAAAAACAGGCTTACAGTATATTCCCACTAAGTGTCTCATATTTCGGAATACCTGTGTGGCGAACATTTTTGCTAGTGGAGTGTCTATGCAGGGCAATTTTCACCTTTCAACACCAAAAGAAAAATGTTCCAGTTGGTCACAGATATTTTGAAATGCCAAAAGCAAACACACTCAAACCTCAATATAAAGAACCCAGATATAACAAATTATCAGTTTATTTTTTATTTTATTTATCACATACTGCGGACCAAGTATGGTCCATGCAGGAGAGGGCAATACAGTTCAAAATTCTTCTACATACATACACTTCCGCTGCAGTATACATTCACTGCAGAACAAAATTCATGTACATTAAAAATTCGTGAAAAACAAGGAACAAATACAGGCAAAGAAGCAGACTTAAGAAACAAGAAAAGGGTATAGTTTCATCTCGGCATGTTGAGCATAGGGGAATCATGGGGCAGAGCATTCCAATCAGAGACAGTTCTCGGGAAAAATGAATACTTGTAAATGTTAGTGCGTGCAAATATAGGTGTAATGCTACGACTATGTTTATGACGTGAAGACCTGGTTGTGTCCTGTGTTATGTAATCTGGTGCATGCAATCCTGATCTGGAAAAGTATAAAAGGCGGAAAAAGTTAAGCCGTGCAGTTTTCCTTCGATCGGCTAAAAGTTGGAGGTTCGCATCCTGCAACAGGGCTGACGGCGAATCGCGACATCTATACCGGTTGTATATAAATCGAGCAGCTAATCGTTGTATTTTTTCTATTTTCTGTATATTACCAGCTGTGTGGGGGTCCCACACAATGCTGGCATATTCAAGAGAAGGACGAACTATGACTTTATAGGCTCTAAGTTTTAGTGAACTAGAAGAACGACCCAATTTATATTTTAGAAAGCCTAATTTTCTCCTGGCGGCAGAACATATACCATCAATATGTGCTGTCCAGCTAAGCTTCGATGTAATCGTTACGCCCAAGTACTTGAATTCTTCTACTTGCCTGATAGCGTATCCACCTACATTATAAGTAAACTCCAGTTTTTGGATTTTGTTACTCAGACATAAATATGCAGTTTTCTCAAAATTAATTACCATTTCCCACTTTTTACACCATTCTTTTATGTAGATTAAGTTCTGACACAAGTCATGCTGGTCAGAGATAGAATTTATGGTATTAAAAATTATGCAATCGTCTGCAAATAACTTAACAGACACGCCAGGTCGGATGGCTTGAACTAAATCGTTAATATAAATATTAAATAGTATAGGCCCGAGAACTGACCCTTGCGGGACTCCAGATAACACCCCCAAATAACCAGAGGTGAAACCGTTTATATCTACGTACTGTTTCCTGTTCGTTAAGTATGCTATGACCCAGTTAATTATTTCCGGAGGAATGCCGATAACCTTCATTTTATCTATTAGCTTGATATGCGGGACCTTGTCAAAGGCCTTGGAAAAGTCCATAAAGATGACATCAACCTGTCCAGACTTGTCCAGAACTTCGGAGAACTCGTTAACAGTTGCTAATAATTGTGTGGTGGTAGATAATCCCCGTCGGAAGCCATGTTGCGCGCTGTGAATTACTTTATTTTGTTCAAGAAAAGTATTTAAATATTTCGCTATAATATGTTCAAGTAATTTGCAACAAATACAGGTAAGGGAGATTGGTCGATAATTGCTGACTAATAATCTGTTACCTTTCTTAAATACCGGAATTACACGTGCTAGCAGCCAATCGTCGGGCACTGAACTAGTTTTAATCGAAACATCAAATATTATTACTAGGAATCTAGCTATAATTTCAGCATACCTCTTTAGAAAAACAGCTGGGATACCATCAGGGCCGGTCGATTTTTTTACGTCTAGCCGCAATAATAGTTCTGTCACCCCTTCCAAGGATATATTTATTAGGCTTGAAGGACCTGGCACCGTCACAATACTTAAGTTTTGTGGTCTTGAGAAAACGCTCTGAAAGTAGGAATTAAATGCGTTTGCTATTTCGTTTTTATTTGTGACAGCGGTTTCTCCATTCATTATTTCATCAGGGATACGGTTGTCTTTGTTTTGTAAGAACTGGTAAAATTTTCGTGGGCTCTCTGCCGCAAAGCGGCCTAGTGTCTCGGTGTAATAATATTCCCTAGCCTCCTTCAACTTGGATGCTAAAGTATCTCTTAGATCGTGCAGAACTACATCATTAGCTATTTTTTGCTTTCTTCGCCTTTTAATTTTGCGTTTTAGGTGAATTAGATCGCGCCTTAGACAGGGGTTTGTACGGCCAACTTTTTTAAGTTTATCTAGAACGAAATTGCAAATGCAGAAGTGGCAATAAAATTTGAATCGTGTCCATAGCGAGTTAACACTGCCGTCGCAAAATGATAGCAAAGCTTCTTCTAGGTAGTGAACAATCTGGAAATCGTCTGCAGCAGAATACTGTTTTACAATTACGGGCTCAAGTCTAGATGACCTTGTTCTACGAGGTAAAGAACAATTGAAATTGACCAATTTGTGATCAGAAATGCCATCTAAAACTGTTGCCATACAGGATTCAAAACTTGTGGAACAGAAAACGAGATCTAGTATTGAAGAAGCTGAACTTGTCACGCGCGTAGGATCAAGGACCGTTTGCGTAAGGGAGTAAGCAAGCGACATGTCTAGTAATATTTCAGCACTCTGCACATCAATAGAACCACATTTCATCGATTCGCAATGCATGCCTGGCATATTAAAATCACCTGCAATAATGATGTTTTGATTTCGGTATTTTTCTAAGTGCTCGTACAGGTCTATCAAGAAAGCCGGTGGGGCGCCAGGGGGCCTATAGACTCCCGCAATAATAATAGGGTTACCAGCAATTACAGCTTTACAAAAAACACTTTCGTGGCAGCTATTAATATCAGGCAAGGAAACGGACGATACCTCGCGTTTAACAAGGATAGCAACTCCGCCCCCTCTTGTTTGACGATCTTTCCGATAACATGTGTGTGAAGGAGGAAATATGCAATTACCTGGAATTTGAGGGTGCAACCATGTCTCCGATATTACTGCTACGTGTGGGTCGTAAGAAAGCAAAAGGTGCTCGAGTTGCTCTTGCTTGTTGCATACACTTTGAGCATTCATGCACAGCAATCGGAAAGTCTTTTGCGCATGCTCAGTTTTATTTTGGGTTTGTCATTTTTCCGTGCGGGAAGACTTACGTAGAAACACCCTGCGACAGTTATAACGAAGTAAGCAAGGAATGGTTCTGTCATAGGTACAGAGCAATAAATATATTGTTACAGGGAGGATTTATGCCGCGACAGCGGGTCTGGCTAGCATGCAGAGTGCACAGTATTGCAGGCCAACAGGGCAGCTCGAGAGTTCAACCCACAACAACATCGTCGTCTTCCTCCTTTATGTGTAATTTCAGTGCTTGTACCAGAGTGACGGTTCCATGCACATGTCATCATGCCAGCAGGTAAGGAACCATGTCGGTGCCTCTTAAATGGGCGAGTCACCATTGTAGGGCATAAGATGAGAAACGTGGACTACTTCTGTTCTGGGTGTACCAGCCGATGAGTTTGTTGTGGCGTAAATCTCATAGGTGACAGGCGTCACCTGATGAAGGACTCTGTACGGCCGAACGTAGCGATATAAGGAGTTTCTCGCAGAGTCCAAAACTTTGAGATGGGAGCCACAGTAAAACAAGAGAGCCCACAGAAGAAATAGCCTTCCTATGTTGACGATCGTAAAGATACTTCTATGCTCTCTGCGACGACAGTAACTGAGCGCAGGCTACTGTGTGTGCTATGAGGGCACTGTAGATGGCATACGAACGTGCGAAACGCAAGATGGTTGGTCAGACGAAAGTAGAGTAAAGGATGACGGCCGAAGAGTAGATAAAATGGTGAGAAGCAGTATCCAAACCGAAGGTCACTGAACAAGAAATATTTAATGCCGTGGAGGCAGTCAAGAGCATCATCAATTCGAGGTAGTGGATAGACGTTCTTCTTGGTGATCCAATTGAAGTGGTGATAGCCAATAAAAAAGTGCCAGCTGTTGTCCTTCTATTTAACTAAGACTACAGGGGATGCCCAAGGACTAGACGAAGGCTCTAAGACGACTTTTCTAAGAATTTTCTCGACCTCCTGCAGTATACTTAGGCGTTCAGCATAAGACACACAGTAAGGACATTTGTGAAGTGAACTGGTGTCGCCAGTGTTGATACAGTGGGCTACAACGCTTGGGTAGCTCAGGGAACGGTCGTCGATGTGAAAGATATTGCCACCTGCATGTAATGGGTTGAGAGCAAGAGCGGCTTTCACCCTGAAAAAGAAAAAAGGATCGCATGCGTCTTCTTTACTCAAGATCCAGCCGTGATGGACACTCTTTTTAAGAGCTGGCGACATCTTGGCTAATTAAAAGACCCTTGCACTTCTGAAGTCTCGTGACAAACTGGTGGAGCTGCTGGGTAGCTCTCACAGATGTTGGAGACCCCTCCAGGTAGTCGCCCTACGAGTTAAGTCCCAGTTAACACCCCAGTGCATCGGGCCAGCCGCCGAATCAGGGAATTACCTCTGGAAGTAAAAAAAAAAAATGGACCCCACCACTTCAACAAATATGACGAGTGCTTCAGTTCAAACAGCTTCAACCGACACAGGAATCGTGATTCACAACCGGTTTGTGATGGAGAGCCCCGGGTCCCGACGAGGTTCCATGGCACGGAGCGCGAGGATGTCAAAGACTGGTTGGCCGATTTCGAGCGTGTAGCCGCCTTAAATCAATCGGACGATGCGGCCAAACTGGAGGACGGGGCGCGTACGTGGTACAAGAATCGCGAGGAGCATCTGACGTCAG